AAAAAAAAAAAAAAAAAAAAAAAAAGAAATCGTGAAAACTAAGCCATAAAATCTTGAACCTTCTAATATTTGGGCCTCCCTGAGGCATTACTTATAGCGCTTATGGACCTCCTATTGTTCTCTGTCAGCATGTTTTGGATTCTCATTTTGTCATCCTTGCTGCTATATAAATTTCTAATATATATTACTTGATGTTAATCACAAGTCAGTACTAGAAGCATATGTTTCATTTATCAGTTGTCTAAATTACTTGGGCTTCATTTGGATGGAGATAGAGTATACAATTTCAGAACAAATCTACCAAATCCTTAGATCCCTATATCAGCCTTTTTCCTTTTCTTTTAGTCATAGAAGCGCATTCACCGACTTATGTAGAGTCCTTTGAAATTATTTGCATGAAATCCTTACACATAATTGCAGAAATATAATTGTTATTATCATGTATTTTATCTGCAAATTTCCAAGTCTGCTTCTCATTCATTTGCCATGCCCTTTACTCTTTCAACGTTCACCGATAACTATTGAATGGGTTGCAGCAATTCTCTGAAGAAGCTGCTGTCACAGGTTGGGGCGAGCATATAATTTGCCGCATCTTGATGATGGTGGCTGCATGCAGATGATTGTTGGAAGAGATGCAAAGGTATCATGGTGCGAGCTGCACTAGTGCAGTCAATAATGGGGCATTTGGGGGGATACAAGCAAGGGATACTTCTCGTGCTGAATCACCTGTTGTGCCACCTAACTTTTCACTGAATCCAAGGTATTTACTGTTTTGTTATTGTTAATAATATCATATGCCAAGGATCTTTCCATGTACGAGTGCGGTGCTATAGTGGATTCGCCTGAGTGGGCTGTGAGGCTGATTTGACCTGGCTCAACATTATATAACTGTTTATAATTGCTTAGAAATATAACTTTCAGGCACCACTAAATATTTATGTCTAGTTATTTTAGGTGTGCATTTGACTCAATTGACGTTATGTTGCTGAATGAGCTTTTAGCTCCTAAAGTCCATTTTGTTTTCATTAACCAAATGCCAGGTGTCACTGTGCATTATTATAAACAAAATAAGATGCCAACAAAAAGTAACTTAAAACATTAAGATGTACATATATAAATTCAAAATATGTCTCTTATCATTGTTCGGTTTACTGTTGGTCGGAGTAAAACATCCAAAGTACTGAAACTTTGACATTGTGTCTTCTGAGTGTCTTGCACATGATTTATTTAAGAGTTCATTTGGTTGATGAAAGGTGAGGGTTGAAAACTTACTTGATGAAGTGCTAACTTCTGATGGAGGAGTTTTTTTGACAATTATGAAATTCAAGTGATGGTTCGTGAGAAGATATTATGTTATTGATGTGGGTAGGAGCTTCTATTTGAAGCACTTTTTAGTTAAGTTTACAAGTGTAAACTATTACCTCTATTGATAACGGGATGCTTGAGTTGAGTGCTTAAGTTGCAATTTTACAGTTCATTGGCGATGTTATTTCTGAATCTCAGGTTATTAATCATACATTTCTACTTTATTTTTATTTTATTTTTATTTTTTTTTACCATGTTCTCATTTTTTTTTTTTTTTCGTATAGCTGTGAAACCCAAGTAACTAATTATGTAAATATTTAAGCTTAAGTAATTGCCTTGGTTTGGCTTGTGTACTCAGGCGATCCTCGCCACCAGCACCATACAAACTGAGGTGTGACAAGGAACAGTTGAATTCCCGGTAATTGCTGCGTAACTTTAATTATTTGTAACTGCTACCTCTCCTTTTCCTTTTTTTTTTCTTTTTTAATTACATGGGCCTGAAAGTGGTATGTGGGGCAAGGTTATGGTTTGTTGATCACCTTCTTTCTTTCCAATAACTACTGGGTCAATTCATTAGAAAGGTTATGTGCTCCTAGTGTAAATTATATCGTTCCGAGTCTTTTCAGAAATCACATACAAGTTTCTTCTCAGTTTTGTTCTTGGACATGTTATCATTGATTGTACCTTACATTAGCTGTGTCCTATGGTAATAGACTTGGGCAACCTGACTTCCAGCCACCAACTCCAAATTGTCCTGAGGAGACACTTACAAAGGAGTATGTACAATCTGGCTATAGAGATACTGTTGAAGGACTTGAGGTATTTATCTAAGTATTTGGCTTATGATTTGCTTACCTTGACTTATTGAGTGAGTTTCTGAATTTCATTGCGATGGATATTGATCAGGATGCTCGAGAGATTTCATTGTCCCAGGTTCCGACTTTTACAAAGCCCGTAATTATTAAGTGCAAAGAGGTATGTGGCAATGTATCCAGTAGGAGGATAAATGAGCTGCTTGTTATCCCTATGTTTTCACTGCTATATTATAAGATGTTATCAAGCTTATTATGCTCTTAATTTTTCCAGGCAATCAGAAAATGTCATAGAGCAATCAATGAGTCTCGTGCCCAGAAAAGAAAGGTCTCCATATTTTCCCTTTGCCTATCCTCTAAAGGGGGAAATGATCTATTACTTGTGAATGGAGTTTTTTGTTTTCCTTACAACATTTTCTTTTTCCTAATGCCTTCTGGATATTGGTAAACCTGGACATGAGAATTAAGTTTAGATTATATGCTTCATATGCAGGCGGGTCAAGTTTATGGTGTTCCTCTTTCTGGTTCACTACTCACTAAACCTGGTGTATTTCCAGATCTACGGCCATGTGGGGAAGATTTCAAGAAGAAATGGATTGAGGTTGTTTTTCCTCTGAAAATAATGAAATAATATATAATATTTTTCAAATCAGGCCTCATGTTAGATATTTGGATATTTTCTTGACTTATGTGGTTTGTATAGGCAAGGCAAATTTATGCTTGTTGATAAACATAAAATTGGGTAGTTGAAAGTTGGTATGTACCTTTGACGATTCTTGCAATTGGTTCCATGTGATCTATATTAATTTGGTTAATTATTTTTGTCACCAATTTTGAACCTTGTCTTGCATCTTGACTGTGCTTCAACAACTTGTGTAGCACTTGGGAAAATCAATTTGGTGGTTGTAGCTGAATGGGAATTTAAGATTGGTGACACTAAGATATACATGGTAACTGTGGTTCTTAAACCTCATGTTCTCAATAGATCTGAATACCAGATCAAAGTTGTTAAGAGCATCTCACTATTATGGTGATTTTGTTGTTTTGGTTGGAGGAAAGACATAACTTAATGTTTATTTGTGTGGAGCTTTGGTAGATTTTGATGCCTTTTAGTGGAATCCTTCATCAAGTGAATAAAGATTCCTAAACCTGTGCTCTTTACAGGGATTATCTCAACCGCATAAAAGATTGCGCTCATTGGCCGACCATGTTCCTCATGGTTATAGACGGAAATCTCTTTTTGAAGTCCTAACTAGATTCAATGTTCCTTTGTTGAGAGCTACATGGTTCATCAAAGTAACTTATCTTAATCAGGTATGTGTTCTGTAGAGAAGTGATTGCGGGGTTTTTCCTGAACTAATTTGGTTATCGAAAGCAAAATGATAATCACATGGTGAATTATCACAGGTCCGTGTGGCATCTTCTAATTCATCATCCAGTATCAATGAAAAAACTCAATTTTCACGTTCAGAACTGTGGACAAAAGATGTTATTGAGTACTTGCAGTACCTCATGGATGAATTCATGACAAAAAATATTTCTCAAATAACTTTGCCTGTGCGACAACGGTCATCACAAATGGTTTATTCAGTGCAGCAAAAAAATGATCCATTTTCATCTGTCATAGATGCTGGGGATCCTTCACTTCACACTAAATGGTGGTATGTTGTAAGGATTATTCAGTGGCATTATGCGGAAGGACTTCTTGTTCCTTCTCTCATTGTGGATTGGGTTCTTAATCAACTGCAGGTTAGTATGCTTCCTAATCTTTGTCTCCTCTTCCTTTTTGTTCTTCAATGCAATACTTATCTCTGGCTTTCATATTTGTATTTCTTATTTGTTATTTCTTTGCCCAAAGGTGTTTGTGATTCTGAAAAGTGATTTATATGAATTTCTGTTTGGATTGTAACTTCTGAATTTATGTTGCTGCAGGAGAAGGAATTACTGGGTGTCCTGCAGTTGTTACTGCCCATCATATATGGTGTAATAGAAACTGTTCTCTTATCACAGACCTATGTACGCGGTCTGGTGGGAATAATCATTCGGTTCATCCGGGAGCCTTCTCCAGGCGGTTCAGATCTCGTTGATAATTCTAGACGTGCATATACCACCACCGCTCTTGTTGAGATGCTCCGATATTTGATGCTAGCTGTTCCGGACACTTTTGTTGCTTTGGATTGTTTTCCTCTGCCATCCTGTCTGTTAAGCCATACATTAAATGATGGAAACTTCTTATCTTCCAAAATGGCTGAGGATGCTACGAAGGTGAAGGATGGTCAAATTGAAGTTACTGGTGTGCGTAGAGATAATATTCGTGATGCTCAGGCTGAGTCATTATCCTTTCTTGGAATTGTATCTTCGATTCAAAAGCGTGCGGAGACTTTATCGAGAGCAGCCAGACCTAATCATCCAGGCTATAACATAGGCAAAGCCTCACAGGTGTTGGACCAAGCTCTCATGCATGGAGATATTGGAGTTGCTTACAAGTTGCTTTTTGAAAATGTATGGGATGGAGCTTGGGCTGAAAGCTGGATTGCACAAGTAAGTCCCTGCCTGTATACGTCACTCAAGCGCATCACTACAGTTCCATCCTCATTAATTTGCGCCATCTTTTTTATATGTGAGTGGGCGACTTGTGAATTTCGGGATTTTCGTGCCACACCTCCTCATAGTGTGAAGTTCACTGGTAAAAGAGACATGTCTCAGATATTCATAGCAATACGGCTTCTAAAGCAGAGGATGAGTGACTTGCCAAATCTGCACCCTTCCAAGAGGCGGAGAAGTAGAGCTATTTCAGACATCTTTGAGAGTCCTGGCCCTTTGCATGATATTATTGTATGTTGGGTTGATCAGCATGAAGTGCATAATGGAGAAGGTTTCAAGCGCTTGCAGTTTCTGATTAGAGAATTGATTGAATGTGGCATTTTTAATCCTCTGGCATACATCAGGCAGCTGATTGTAAGTGGCATTATGGAAGTGAATGGGACTATGGCTGACTTGGAAAGCAGAAGAAGACATTGCAAACTCTTGAAAGAGTTACCTGCTCCTTATATCCGTGACGTCATGGAAGAAAGATTTGAAACACCAATATTTGGTGAGGCAATGGATATTTATTCAAATGAACGGCGACTGGTGCTTCATGGGCTATTTGGACTGAAAAAATCTGTTCCCAAAGCAAATGGTCTGGCCAAGCAAAAAAAGCATTATAGTCTTGCAGGTGGAAGCGGTTCAGCTTTTAATGGTGACATGGATATCAAGCTTGAAGAATTGAAGGATTCAATTTCTGCTCTATTGCATTTGCCCACATCTCTATCTCGAATAGACACTGGAAATGACGAAGCTCAAGGAAGCAGTAAGAGGCCCGGTGGTCCTACTAGTGAGGTAGAAACTAGTGAAGAAACATCAGAATGTGAAGAATGCAAAAGGATGAAAAGACAAAAATTAAGTGATGAAAGGACCTTATGGCCAGCAGATGAAGAGATATGGTGGGCAAGTAAGGGCCTAAAATATATGGAATCTTTTAGAATGGAGCCACCCCCAAAGCCTGCCAAGCAGTCATCAAGAGGGAGGCAGAAAAATGTCCGTAAAACTCAAACTCTTGCACAGTTAGCTGATGCACGAATTGAAGGTAGTCAAGGAGCATCGACAAGCCATGTCTGTGAAAGCAGGATAGGTTGCCCTCATCATAGGACAGGTTTTGATGAGATCTCAAAATCTGTAGATGGGTCCAGAAAACCACCGTCAGCTGATATTCTGTTAATTGGAAGAATTCTGAAGAAGATGCGGTTTGTTAACAAGAGGACTGTGGCTGCATGGCTGATATCCGTTGTGAAGCGTCTTATTGAAGAGGCTGAAAAGCCTACTGCCAAGGGTGGCCAACTGGGTAGGCCAATACCACCTGCTAATAATCGGAGCTCCTTGAGATGGAGACTTGGTGAAGATGAACTATCAGCAATTTTGTATATATTGGATGGTTGTGATGAGTTAGTTTCTGCTGCAAGGTTTCTTCTTTGGTTGGTTCCCAAGCTTCCCAGCAATATGAGCTCTATCGTCCAAAGCAGGAACACTCTCATGCATCCTAGGAATGCTGAAAATCGTGCTTGTGAAGTAGGAGAGGCATATTTCATATCATGTATTCGCAGGTGTGCTTTAGCTCCTATCACCTGTGAATTTCAGTATTTGGTTTTATCGCAGTTTGTTGAGTTCTTTTGTTTCTTTTAAAGTCTCTGTTTATGCTCAACTGTCCCATTCTTATAGTAAACACTGTGTTCCAATGCTCTATCAGTAATGGATGAAACATAGGAAATGGACAAGATAATCTGTAAGCTATTGTTTCGTGCCAGCATGACATTGCTTGTGAATTTTTTGGAGTCGCCGCTATAAAATGGTGGTTGAGCAAATGTTTTTCTATTGTCTTTGTTGCATTAAATTTTTCTATTATGCTTGGCTCTTCCTTTAGGCTTTTAGATAAATAATATGAGCACTTTCAGAATTGTATGGTCTGGACAGTTTGAGGATTTATGGAGTTTGAGGTTTATGTCGCTTACTTTTTGGTAATTATGCTGGAGCATATTTCGTTCAGTATCTTGCTGATTTACTAATAAAAGAATATCTTGAACTTATTGTTTGCTGCCCTAAAAAAGAGACTAGCACATTATCATTTTAGATGGGTTGTCGGGTTACCTGGAAACTCAACTTATTTTATTCTTCCTTTTTTTTTTGGCTCGGTTTCAGGTATGAAAATGTAACCGCTGTTGCTGATATGATTCCTGAAACCTTGTCTGCTGCGATGCATCGTGCTGCTGCAGTGTTGGCATCTAATGGCAGACTTTCTGGTTTGCCAGCCATGGTTTACGCCTGTCACCTCCTGAGGAAGTATGGCAATGTAGCTAGTGTTATTGAATGGGAAAAGACTTTCACATCCACAAGTGATAAAAGAGTTAGTTCCGAGCTTAAATCAGGAAGAACTTCAGAAGGGGACTTTGGATTTCCCTTTGGTGTACCAAACGGAGTTGAAGACCCTGATGACTATTTCCGTCAAAAGATTAGTGGTGTCCGAGTGTCCAGAGTTGGTTTGAACATGAAAGAGGTCGTTAACAGACTTATAGACGAAGTTTTCCAGTACTTCTACACAAAAGATAAGAAGCCTTTTGTACCAGGCACTAATAAAAATGTGACTGCCGAGAAGTGGGAGGACAGCCACCAGATAGCTAAGCAAATAGTTATTGGATTGATGGACTGTATGAGGCAAACTGGCGGAGCAGCTCAGGAAGGTGACCCTTCTCTGGTGTCTTCTGCTATTGCAGCAATCGTTAATAATATTGGGCAGGTTGTTGCGAAAATTCCTGATCTAGCCTTGGGCACTAAGCACTTAAATTCATCTCCACCTTCTGGCTCGTTAAATTTTGCTCGGCATATTTTACGCATTCATATCACTTGCCTGTGCATACTGAAGGAAGCTCTTGGAGAACGCCAGAGCCGGGTCTTTGAAGTTGCCCTTGCTACAGAAGCTTCTTCTGTTCTCATGCAAGCTCTTGCCCCTGGTAAGGGTGCTCGCAGTCAGTATCAGATGTCTCCCGAGACTCACGATTTCAGTCCAAATTTACCAAATGAAACTTCAAACAAATTAACAGTTCTTGGGAGAGCAGCTAGAATATCCTGTGCCGTTTCTGCCCTCGTCATTGGTTCAATTCTGCAGGGAGTTGCTACCCTTGAGAGGATGGTGAGTCTGTTTAGGTTGAAGGAAGGGCTGGATCTAATTCAGTTTGCGAGGAGTCTGAAGTCCAATGTAAATGGGAATGCACGTTCCATGGGTGTCCTGAAAGTGGATAATGTGATTGAAGTTTCTCTGAACTGGTTTAGGGTCCTTGTGGGGAACTGTAGAACTGTTTGTGATGGATTTATTGTGGACCTTTTAGGTGAAGCCTCAATTGTAGCTTTGTCTAGGATGCAGCGGATGTTGTCTTTAAATGTGGTTTTTCCGCCAGCCTATTCTATATTCGCTTTTGTTGTATGGAAGCCCATTCTTGATGCATGCTTTGGGATCCGTGAAGATTTCAGCCAATTGTATCAGTTATTGGTCACAAGCATAGGTGATGCCATAAAACACCTACCCTTCCGTGAGATATGTCTGAGGGACACTTATGTCTTGTATGACCTCATAGCTGTAGATAACCTCGATTCTGAATTTGTTACCTTGCTAGAATATGGTTCAGATATCAATTTGAAAGCTGCTGCGATGGTTCCTCTACGTCCGAGGCTTTTTCTTGATTCTCTTGTAGATTGTAAAATGCCACAGCAGATGGCTGAGAGGAATGGGATTAGTGGGCACGGTGTGCTGAAAAAACAGTGTGGCGAAAATGTTAAAAAGCTTATGGCCAAGCTTGTGCATGTTTTGGACACTTTGCAACCGGCGAGATTTCACTGGCAGTGGCTTGAGCTGAGGCTCCTACTCAACGAGCAAGCAATCAACGAGAAGATGGAGAATGATATCTCCTTGATCGAGGCCATAAGGTCTCTCGCCCCAAATCCTGATAAGAATACTGCTTCTGAGAGTGAGAGCAACTTCATTCAAATTATTCTCACCAGGCTACTGGTCAGGCCTGATGCAGCTCCTTTGTTCTCTGAGGTTGTGCATCTCTTGGGAAAATCCCTTGAAGATTCAATGTTGTCGCAGGCAAAATGGCTACTGAGAGGTGCCGAAGTTCTTTATGGGAAAAAATCTATCAGGCAGAAGGTTCTAAATATTGCTGCCGAGTTTAAAGAACTCTCCCTGAAACCCCAGCACTGCAAGCCATGGGGATGGTGCCCTTCTGATGTTAATTTACTGGCTAACAAGGGTGGAAAATGGAAATCTGAAGGCGGCACCCTTGAAGAAGGAGAAGTTGTTGATGAAGGGGCAGATTCCAACATGTCTGCAAAAGGATCGGGTGTTCTGGATGTCGAAGGCTTTATCGTCAATCAACAGCATGTGACCGAAAGAGCTCTCGTTGAGCTAATCCGTCCGTGTTTCGATCAAGGGTCGGATGACCTGCGCTATAACTTTGCGAGTGAAATGGTCAAGCAGATAATTAATATTGAGCAACAAATAAATGCAGTTACTTGTGGAGTTGGCAAGCAAGCTATCGCTCCCAGTCAAGCTGTTGGAACTCCTGCAAGTAAAAGTACCAACAGAAAAGGCGGGAAAAGTGGGAGTCCGGGAATACCGAGGCAATCGAACGGAACTGGTGACACTGTTCCTCCTTCTCCTGCAGCACTGCGGGCATCAATGACTCTGAGATTGCAGTTCCTGATTCGGTTGCTCCCTATTATTTGTGCGGACAGGTAATTTTAATTGCGGTGCCACTGCTTAGACTTTAAGAGACATATAGGAGTGAGATGTTATTTGTCTGATTGTGATATGTTTTATCTTTGACTGTATCCTTTCTAGTTGTTATTTATTTATTTATTTATTTATTTTGACCGTGTCTGCATTTGCTCAAAGTGTTCAATGGTATCTGAATTTTACTAGTTTGTTTTACGTCATTATCATTTTGTCTGACCAGAACATTGCAATGAGTTATGTCCCTGGTTTTGATTGTTGGTCCAATAAAAGTTATATCTGTGCTTTTGAAAGATTTTTGATGTATGTTACTTGAAAGGTACTATGACTTGCCAAACTGTTCGTTTCAGTGAATGTTTTAAAGACGAAATTCTGAGTCTCTGTGCTTTATGCCGTGCTTGTCTGACACTTACATGTCAATAATTCTGAAACCGAATGTTGCTATCGCTTTTGCTTGTTTGTGATGCTTGTAATCATATACGATATCCTTCTGCATCTTTCTCAGGGAGCCTTCTAGTCGAAATCTGAGGTATGCACTTGCTTCAGTTATTCTGCGCCTCCTTGGAAGCAGGATTGTGCACGAAGATGCTGGCCATTTTGTCAATAACCCCTTGTTTATTTCGCCAAAGAAAAACTTGGAATCTCTTATGGAAACTTCCGCTTCTGCCAAACTAATATGCGGGGAAAGTATATTCGACTGTCTACTGCTAGTTCTGCACGTGTTGCTAAGCAGTCACCAGCCCAGCTGGCTGAAGCCCAAGTCTGAATCCAAGGCCACCCAGCCCAGCAAGGAATATACAGCTTTTGATCGTGAAGTTGCAGAATGCCTGCAGGTTCGACATTTTGCCTAAACTGACAATAACCTTTGTTTGATACAATTACTATAATTGAGATTTTTTCATAATTATGAAATTATCCCAGTTATTTTATAAATTTGCAATTCCTCTGTGTATGTATTCCTCAAATACAGCTTTCCCGAGTGCAAATTTTAGAAGATAAATTATTCTAAAGCGGTGGATGTATAATATGAAGAACCAACTTGGTTTTCTAAAACAACAGCTTTTGGTGATTTTTTTTTTTTTTTCACAAGTATGTTGAAACCTCTCACACGGTTTAATTTTATAATCGTGGCACGTCTTATTCCATTTGTATTCGTGCAGAATGAATTGGATCGCATGGAATTGCCCGAGATAATCCGGTGGCGAATTCAAACTGCAATGCCAATTATTTTTCCAAACTTTAAGCGTTCAATCTCTTGCCAGCTCCCATCTGTATTCCCCAGTGCTCTTGCCTGTCTTCAGCCAAGCAATACAGTGACCAAGTACAATCCAAACCCACCACCTCGAAATTTGCCCGGTCGTTCATCCTCGAATCTGAAACACAAGCCACAACAAGATACTGATTCCGAATATATCGACCAGTGGACTCTTCTAGAAGACGGGGCAGGGTCGGGCCCACCTTCATCCGGGTCGGCCAGCATCGGCACTGGCGATAATACAGATCTAAAGGCGTGCAGTTGGCTCAAAGGGGCCGTGAGAGTGAGAAGAACTGACCTCACATATATCGGGGCCGTTGATGAGGACAGCTGAGATTTTTGGTTAAAACAAGTCGATTAATTTTGGAAAAATGTTTTCCGAGACGAGCAAACACCATGCAGAGAATTTCATTGAATAGGTGTTGGGGCTTGTTTGGCACTAGCAGCGTAAAGTTTACTGCTGTTGAGATTTGGATGGATTTTCAAAGGCGAGCATTTCATTGGCTTCCTGTGGTGTGGGATTTGCTGGACTTGATCGATCGTCTGCTAACCGTTTGAATGATATTCTTGATGCCGGTTGATTGTACCCGAGCAAGGTTATTATGTTGTAAATATGGATAACGCTCCCTTTTTCTTTATCCTTTGTGATCTGGTGAAATGCCTGAGAGAAGAATCTCTGTAGCTTCTTACATGCTCGTAAAATATCTTGTGTAATTTATGATCTCGTGGGCTGGTCTCGTAACCCGATATCACTCCTCATCTTGCTTGCTTCACTCGCCTTTTTTTGGGATTATGATAGGATTTGATCTTTGGCGATCGATTGAGATCGATTGAAAAACGAAGAAGGAAAGAAGGGAGTGAGGAAAGGAAGATCCTAATATGGGTTGCAGTATATTAGTTTAGAACTATGTATTTTCTGTGCGTACAAATGGGCATGTTATGTTTTTATGCCTAGGAGATGTATTGTAAGAACCAATAAATATTTTGGATTGAAGGTACTTCAACATTAGATGATTATTTACTGTGTTTTTTTTTTGGTTTTGATTGGGATGATATTTGACTTGATCTGGGTATTTGTTGGCCTTCAGAAAATGCAAGATTATCCAGGATTTGTATTACTTGTGTATGTTTCGTGTTTCTTTATTAAATTCCAATGATAAACATAAAATATATATTAGATAAAATGCACAAAATAAAACATTTTATTAATTTTTTTATTAATTTGAAAAAAGCCAACATAATTAAGACATCAAATTTATAGTCCTAGACTGCAATAAAAATAAAATAAATTCCTGCAACACTCTTTTAACCAAACAAGATATAACACAACATAATGCATACAAAATTGCAAGTTCTACCAAAATCCCCAGTAGAATGAAAAGGATCACCATTTACCGGGAAGTCGAAACACAGAAGAAGATGATGATACAGCCAAGAAAACCAAACAACACGGTCATACATAAGAACAACAATCTTACAATGGACCCTCAAAAGAGCAAAAGCATCGTTCATTATACACTCTCATCACACATTTTCTTACAACATAGAAAACACACACACACACACACACACACACACACACACATAATTTGATCGTCTGAAAGAAACCCGTACTCGCCCAAAAAGGTAGTCGATATGATTACAAACAACACCTCATTACTGCTACAACAAACAGCATAAAACTGATCATACTAAATGCGATGCGGGCTATATAAGATGATAAGTACGAGTTCAATTAAATATTGAGGTGATTTGAGCTTATTAGAGAACTCGTTATTTAGAGGTCATCAATCCAGTCACCGTATATCTTACTAATTTTGTCGGGGCCCTTCCATTTCTGCATGGGCCTCTGTCCAGCTCTCAGGCCCACATTAGACGACAATCTTTGTGATGGGACCCCAATATGATAACCATCCGTATGAGGCAAAGAAGCATGAGATCCAATGATTGGGTCCACAGAGGTTTTAGCGGGTAAGGCCCCTTGCTTGGCATCGGGAGTAGAAGAATCGTTAATGTCTGAATCTAGCGGGCCCCCACCATACTGATGTAGTTCTGTCATCACGAAAAGTTTTTAAGATAATTGTCATAACGATGATTAGTATGTACATAAAAAAGAGGGCAAATATCTTTACTACTGAAGCTTTGGGTAATATGGAATGCAAAAGGATAGACGTTCAGTATAATTACACAAAAATGTCATTCTCTATACTGAAATTACAAAATATGAGAGACCATGTTGAGGTATGTACTCACATAATAAGCCATAAACAATAAATACCCCCCTTGATGCGGTTGCAAAACGGAGACAAATATAAGGTGGAGTTTGTAATTTTAAAAGTTAGTTGGGTTTCTCAGCCTCGAGGGACCTTTTGCAAGTTCTGGACCTATACTCATATAACTCATGCAAATTATTATCAAACAAAATACAATAATATATATATATATATATATATATATATATATATTTTGCTATTCTTGTCGCAAGTGACGTATTTGTGAATCCCCCAGCCGATTTGATGGCTCAAGAATTAATGCATTAAGATGTGCCAACTATATTGAATCTGTCACGACATGAAATTAGAAGGGGGTTCCCACACGTGGTATTGGATTTATTTGGTCAATGCAAGATGAACATAAGGGAAGAAACTATTGCCAAGGGCAAGAAATAATGTGCATAAAAAGCGTTTCTTCATCAATTTGCTATATTTCCAACTCTCGTGTCATTAAAATGGTATTCTGAGTTGAAAAAAGGTCAATACAAGGAAACTTGAGCAAAAACAGCCCCACAAAACACTCCACTGAATGATTGATACAAAATGGTGAGGAAACCTCAAGTGAGCAGAAACTTAAGACCATAAAACAAATAAAAAAAATTGCTAATAGAACCTTGCAAGCCCAATAAAGCAGATTCTGAAACAAATCCTTTAGCATTCAAGAATCATAGATTGAAGGTTTAATTACCAAACGATCGTTGAATTCGGCCTAATTACAATATGACGCCGCAATTATCTTTTGAAATTCGGTCTTTCACAATATGAACATTCTTAATCAGCAAAAAGGGCATTCTTAATCTGAAAATACCGATACCAACTGAAGCTTTTGCATTATCAAGCAAAACCACAGGGACATATTTCCTAATGAATTCAGCCTAAGCCTAAATACCAATACCAACTGGAGGTTTAATTACCAAACGATCATTGGATTCAGCCTAAGCCTAATTACAATAGGACACTGCAATTATCTTTGAAAATCCGGTTTTTCACAATATGAACATTCTTAATCTGCAGCAAAATGGCATTCTTAAGCTTGAACCAATACCAACTGGACCTTTTGCATAATTAAGCAAAAACCACACGGACAAATTTCCTAATGAATTACTATAAATTTCGTACCTGCGGCTCCATGCGCAAAATGGCACTTGTTCCCGAACGGGCAATACCCTGTAAGCTCCCACTTGTTACAAATCCTCGTCTTCCAATTTGAAGGCTTCACCACAGACTGATTCCCGTTATTATTATTCCCATGTCCAGGCCCACCACTTCCGCCACCTCCGCCGCTACCCGGGCCCAAACTGATAGCCACGCTCTCACGGGCTCTCGACTGCTCATCGTGAAGAAATGAGCAACTCTCACCATAAGGGCACCCTTCCTCTGTGTAGAACTTCTTGCAATGCCTCCCCTTATAAGACCTCTCATCACCAACTCCAAGAATCGGAATCTGATATTCCTCCCTCGGCTCAGAAGTTGCCCCACGGTGGTCTTCATCGTGGGCCGCCACTATTTCTTGCCAGTTAGGCGGCGGCTTGCGAAGCTCCTCGATGCTGTGCGCGAAATTGCAGTTGGTGATGTAAGGACAAGTCCCGACCCGGAATTTGCAGCAGAGTTTGGTCTTGTAGAACATTTTCCCGATGGCCTTGGATCGGTTCGAAGCTGCTAGGTCACCCGATTGGGAATTTCGAGATCTTTTGTTCGGGGGCTCGCTGCCCGATCGGGTTTGGGAGGAGGGCTGAACTTCGTAGTTCGAATTGGAGTCGACATAAGGCTCGTTGTTGAACATTCCATAATCGTCCTCGGTGGCCCACTCAGCTTCCCAATTTTCGTTACCGCTATTGTTCCGAGGGTTTCCGGAAAGGATTTGCACCACGTTTCCGCTGGAAAATCCGCTTTCTCGACGGTAATCCATGTTTCTCTTAAAACCCCCCCACAGTCAATTTTATTCCAAAACTGTTTTATTGTGTTTATCTTCCTTATGGTAGAACAGTGGACAAAACCCTAAGTTTTATTGAAGACCCACCTATCTAGCACTTCAATTGTCCCTCGAGAAATACAGTAAAAAAGGACAAACAAATATTTCGACAACAAATATGAAATTACTGCAGATTTATAGCTTAGGATTGCAGCAATTTGAACACTTTTCAAAATCTTGTCTCAAAGTTTTCTTAATTGAACAGTTCCATACTAAAAACCCAACAAATTAACCAAGTGGGTCTGCGTATAGACTTGTAATAACCCCATTTAAGCTACTCACACCCAATTTTCTTAAGTGGAAAGGATAAAAATCCAATCTTTCATTACCCAGTGAAAATTATAAATACAAATGTGCGTACAGATGCACTTCCAGAAACAAGCGAGTAAAAAAAAAGTTGCCCAAAAAAGTAGAAGAAGCTAGATAACTTACCCACAGACTGCAAAGGGTTTCAGATCTCACAATCTGAAGCTCGTACTTTTCGAAGAAAAATTACGAGCAATATTTCAGGGTAATGGATAAGTTACAGTTTATTTCAGACATATTATTTGAAAAAAAAAAAAAAAAAAAACTGGGTTTATTTATTATAAATACTGGAGCTTTATTCAAAGCAAAATGGAAATATGTAGGAAGAAAATTAGGAGAGAATTGATGACATTGATGTGTGCTCAGCGGTGAGGATGGCGAGGTGTTTTACTGTAAAACCCATTTTGGTAGCAAGCACGGTACAGAGGAAAAGAACTTGTATTTGATATTTATAGTAGTTAAGGGATACAACAAAAATGGGGTTCTCAATTTAACTTGTTGTCAATTGAAGTTCAAAGAATATCTATATAATAGTTCTCAATTTAATACCCCACCAAACTTTTTTTTTTTCTTTTTTTTTTTCAAAACGAAGAAATGATATATTAACTAAAAGAGAGAACATAGTTAAGCAAACAGAGCCAACAAGCCTGGCCAAGCTACACAGAACTGAAAACTAAAAACAACTCAAACACAAAGCAACTGGAGAACCATACAGGATGGCCTAGAGAGGATAAAGGGACAGTATGGATTGTCTATTGGGCAGTATAGAATACTGAGGCCCTGAGACTAACCATATGTCAAAAGAATAACCAAGCCACTGTAAAACTGCCTAGCTAGGGAAAAAAACAAGAATACCAAAGCAACTCAGAAAAATGAAAAAGAGCTAAGACCACTAAGGCAAATCAGAGAATTCCTTCCATTCAGAGCAAGCACCTTCCACCACTAATCTCTCTGGCTGCTTTTGGTTTTTGAAGACCCAGAGGTTCCTTGATTTCCATAACCACCATAGGATATAGGTGGTTAATTGTATTCTTTTCTCAGCCTCTTTCTCTCTGTGCAGCATACAGATTTCTAACCACCAGCTCTTAAAGCTACAAACTTCTTGTTGCAGTGATGTCCAAGTTACATGGGCCAATCTCCAAACTAGTTTAGCTCTAGGACAGTTGAATAAAATGTGCTCTGCAGTTTCCATAGATTCTCCACAGACTTTGCAAATGCAGTCCACCTTGACACCTCTCTTACACAGGTTTGAAAGTGATGGGAGAATACCTGAATAGCACTTCCAGATGAAGTGCTTAATTTTCCTCTTAATTTTAAGCTTCCAGCTGAAACCTCTAGCTTTGAGAAACTCTGTGCTTTGGTTGCTGGATTCAGGGATATCCAGCTTCAGAATCTTGCTACTTATCAAGTTCTCATAGGTAGAAGCAACTGTAAATCTGCCCTTTTTGTGGAAAACTCCAGGTGGGAGTGTCTCTTTGAGATTTGTCAATAGTGCTGATACTTTGAATGGATTCACAATCTGCAGGAGAAAAAATCTGATTAAGGAGATCAACATTCCAAGCATCTCTGTCAGGCAAAAAAAGTTCCCAGACCCATGTTGGAGGATTGCTTGCAGTAAGATTCCTGCAAGGTTTGTGATTGGGGAGAGATGGGACCCATGGATGATCCCAGATTTTTGTATCTCTACCATCTCTGACAATCATAAAAAGCCCATGCTCAAAAACAGCACTTAAGCTCATCCAGCTCCTCCACAACCAAGAGCTACTTTGTGGAGGTTTGGAATTAAAGAGGGAACAGTTAGGAAAATATTTATCTTTGAGCATTTGACTAACAAGTAACTGGGGCTTGGAGTGATCCTCCAAAGCTGCTTCAGGATTAAAGATTCATTGAAAAGTTTAATATCAGAAAAGCCCAAACCTCCCTTATCAGTAGGGATGGTTAACAACTGCCATTTTTTCCAATGGAGACCCTTAGATTGATCACTCTTGGACCACCAGAATTCAGCAAAAAGCTTTGCAATCTCAGAACAGATGCTGGTGGGCATGAGGAAGCAAGACATGACAAAGGTGGGAAGTGCAGAAAGCACAAATTTAATCAAAACTTCTTTCCCGGCAGATGAGAGAAATTTGTTTTTCCAATTTTTAATTCTATCTCTGACATTGCTAAGAACAAAGGAGAAAAGCTTGCTTTTTAGACAGGCCAATGCCTAGGGGGAGCCCTAGGTATTTAGTGGAGAATTGGATTTGGATGCCTTGGAAAAGTCTGCAGATATCATTTTGGATTGAAGAGGGTGTGTTTTTACTGAAATAGATCGAGGATTTAGACAAGTTGATTTTCTGGCCTGAGTTAAGGTAGTAGCAGTGCAAAATTCTGAGAATCTCATTAGCTTGCTCAGGAGAAGCTTTACAAAAAGCAAAGTGTCATCAACAAAAAAGAGGTGGGAAAGTTCAGGTCCATTTTTGGAGAGCTTGAGACCAGTTAAGGAACCTTGCTGAGAAGAAGAGTTTAACAGAGAAGAGAGAAGCTCAGAGACAATGATGAAAAGATAGGGTGACAGAGGGTCACCCTGTCTAATGCCCCTAGATGGAGAAACAAAGCCACATTTTTTACCATTCAAGTTAAAGGAGAAACTAGAAAAAGATACACAGCTCATAATCCATTTAACAAACAAAGAGTGAAACCCCATTCTAAGCAAAATAGCTTTAATACAAGGCCATTCTATTCTATCGAAAGCTTTTTCCATATCCAGTTTTAAAGCCATAAAATATTTAGAACCAGTTCTATGCCTATTCAGATAATGCATGGCTTCTTGGGCTATGATAACATTGTCTAGGAGTTGTCTATCATGAATAAAAGCAGCTTGGTTTGCACTGATACAAGTGGGAAGACAACTCTTAAGTCTAGAGGCTAAGATTTTAGAAATAATTTTGAAGGCCACACAACACAAGCTAATAGGTCTGTAGTGCTCAACTCTTGAAGGATTAAGAGATTTAGGGATAAGGGTTAAAACAGTATGGTTCCAAGATTTAGCCATAAACCCAGAGTTGAAAAAAGCATAAATAGCATCACACAGACTGTCTTTAATAGTGTTCCAGTTTTTTTGAAAGAAAAGAGGGGTCATACCGTCATGCCCTGGTGCTTTGTTAGGATTCATGTCGTCTAAAACTCTCTTCACATCTTCTTCTGTCACAGATGTGAGAAGCCTGTTGTTCATTGCAGGAGTGATGACTGGTTTAATGCACTGGAAGAAGCTAATCATCTATGTCAGACTAGTTGGAGGTAAAAAGCTGCTTGTAGAAGTCAGTGAGGCACTTTTCCATGTCTGCTTGAGAGCTACATACCATATTACTCCCATTAATCAATCTTGTAATAGCATTGGTTTTTCTTCTCTGGGATGTGTAAGCATGGAAAAAGTGGGTGTTTTTGTCCCCTTCTTTGAGCCATTGCAGTCTAGATTTCTGGCTCCAGTAGGCTTCCTCATATTTGTTGAGTTTGTCAATACCTGCCTTGAGAGAGTTCCACTAGTTCCAATCTCTGTCATTCCCCAAACTTCTCAATTCTTCCATTTTGTTTGTAGCTTCCTTAAGAGCCTTCTCATTTTCAGTTAGAAGGGCTACCCTTAAGAAGGGCTACCCTTGTTGCAGCTATCTTAGCATTGAATTGGGTCATTGGGTGACCATTCTGAAAGCAGCTCCAGGCTTCCTTGATGACATCACTCACTCCATCTCTGAGCTGCCATCTTTTATAAAAAACAAACCTCCTTTTCCTGCTGGCTGCACAGTCTCCTGAGGATAGAATAATCAGACTGTGGTCTGAGGAGCTCATGTAGACATTAGAGGCTGAAGAGCTGGGGTGAGCATTTTTCCAGCTAAAGGATGCAAAGAATTTATCCAATTTTTCTTCCACATAATCATCACCAGTTCTGCAATTCCACCAGGTGAATTGGTGGCCCATCAATCCAATCTCCTGCATACCCATGTTAGTTATGAAATTATGAAAACTCCAGAAAGAACTATCAGGTCTTCTCCTTCCTGCTTGCTTCTCATGATGGTGGCATATATCGTTCCAATCTCCTCCAATTAGCCAATTGTCACCCCAGAGAGCCTTTTCTTGCTCCAGATATAACCATTGCTTCTCCATTTCTCTAAGGTCAGTACTGAGGTATACTGTAACACCCCGCCTAATTATTCTAGAATTTATAAAATCTGAGTAAAATTTTTGTTTTTTATTTTCGAAAAACTCTTTAACTTTATTTTCGAAAATTCTCATACTAACTCGCGGGATGCTACTAACTTAAACTCTTTCTCATGCAGACGTAAATAAATACATGCAACCTAATCAAATCCGTTATATAAAGATACCACGGAGATAAAGGCATTAAACATGCATAAGTCTGAATATCTCATAATACATACTAAATCTGAAATGTGCGGAAGCTGAAACATAATATGTCTACGCATAATATTTATAATACACGTTCAATAAATGACATGTAAATGCGTTACAAAAAGACTGCTAATGACCACGACCACCCCTGAAATCTCACGCGCCACGCGCCGCTCTGTCACCTGAAAAACGTAATGGGGGCGTGAGCAAAACCACTATGCTCCGCAAAGACCAGTACTTAATTA